TATGACTATGAACTAAATTCATTTTGTTTCTATTGGGGAAGACCAAGCTACTCCTATGGTTTAATTATTACTTTTTGATTGATTGTTATTTGGTGATTTTATTAAATTAAGTTTGTTAAAGAACCTTATGCATTAATAACAACTATTTTCTGTTAATTGGAAGGCAATTAAGCTGCATGAACATCTCTTAGTTGTTAACCTCATATGTTATGTGAACACTTTATCATATGCGTAGGAATAATGAATATGAAACTAGGATTAATTAGAGAATGGATAAATTAATGTGTGAGCTTGTTTGAGAAACCAACAAACAAGAGGTTAATTGAAACACCAACTTGATTAACCAATTACAAATCTTATTTAATCCAAATAATTGAACTAGGGAATTAATTAGTTTAAACGATTGGCCACTGCTTGAATTGATTAATTGTCTAAGGGTTAGGAGTAATGAACATGAACCTAACCACTATAGTTGGTAACCAGTAATAATTGATCTATCATTTAAATAACCATAGGAGTGAATTGGTTGAACCTAAATAGAAACCCTTTATTAAATTTGGTGAATTTGTCATTTGCTTTAATTGTTTAGTTAGTTAAGTGCTTAAGTGTTGTGTTTAAGTTTCTAGTCTTGTAAAACTAGAGAAAACCCCTTTTACTTTTAGTACTTGCTTAGTTAAAATTAGTTATTAGATTAATTTCCGTTCCCTGAGTTCGACACCCTACTTATCCAACTATACCAGTAAAAGACAGGTTCACTGCCTTTGTGTGCTTAATTTATTAACTAAAAGTAGGATTAAAACTAGCTCATTCAACACCCTACTTACCCAACACAGCCTCGGGCCCAGCCCGACATCAGGTGCCCACCCAGCCTCAGGCCCTACCTGACATCGGGCCCCTGCTATGCATCGGGCTCTAGTCAGCATTGACCCTGCTCGGTATATAACTTTGTCATACATTGGGCCTCGCATAGCATCGGGTCCCGTTGAGTATACATATGAACATACAAACGTATAAACATACAACACATGCCATAATCACAGAGATAAATAGCATACAGACTAGCAATCGGGCCTCGCCCGACATCGGGTCATACCTGATAATCATAAAGATACATACCAATTACTAACATACAAAGTACTCATGTGGTCCTGCTTGGCATCGGGCCACGCCCAACATTAGATATCATACATGAAGAGTCACGCAGATAGCTAGCATTCTAAATATAAATAACCATGGGCCATCATTGGCGCCTTAGACCCGCTAAACCCAGTGAGTCAACCCGCCTTGCGCTTCTGAATTCCATGCTATAATCACAAAACATAATCCAATTAATACTTGGATCCCAACTTACACTAAGAGTCTAAACTAGCGTAAAAGACCTTTTTACCCTCTCCATAACATGGCCCAAAGCCAAGGCTCAATCCAACAATCCAAAGGCCTAAATCCTAGTTAGCCACCCACAACCCAAATCATGACACAATAATATAAATTGGGCCCAAATCCCATAGTATGCCTTCTCAAAATAAATTATCAACCCAAAACTTGATGGCCCAATAGGGCCTAAAACAACTAAGCCCAAATGATGGACCAAACCGAATCCCACAAACTAAAATCCATTCCTGTTTAGTACGCAGGGCGTAATCAGTTGTACACTAAGCATACACGCCAAATGGTTTGTACATGGCGCGTCTAGACTTGTACGCCTAGTTTACTACCCCATTCAACCAATACTCACTTTTAACACTTAATCCATTAAGACATTGCTCCAAAATGCAGATCTGACTTCCTTGAGCAGGATTATCATGTAAAGTTGATAACTTTACGTTCATGCATGGCTAAATGAAGCTCTTAATCTTAAAAAGGACTTAATAGGTGACTTAATGTATGCATGAGATCCAATACCCTATAAAGTTGGCACATTTATGCTTAATGAACTCCTAATCAGCTCAGATCCAAGATAATAAGTCCTTCGAACGACTTAACTTAAAAACAAAACTAAAAAGGAACTGGAAAACATAACAAATCAAGCCATAAGGAGATCTAAGCATCTACGAGCCAAGGTATGAACTTGATACCTCCAATGTCTAGCAAAAATGGTGATAATTATGGATCTATGAACTCCTCACTAAGCAAAGCACCCTCAATCTTCTTCACTTCCTTCATAAAGGAAAAAATAACCATCAAATCCTTCTCAAAAGCTCAAGAACACCAATATGAAGGATAAGGGTCGATTTTTAGGGTTTATAAGGTATATAGATTGGAAAGGAGGCCAACCCTAAAGACTTAAGGTGCTTATATAGGCTACAACACCCTAAATTAGGGTTTCACTAAATATCATGTACACCCCACGTACATGAACACATGCCCTGTGTAGGTGCTCGAAGACACGATCCTGCCTCACATTAGTACGCCCCGATTAGACCATTGTATGCCCCGCACACTTGTCTTAGTACTAGTGTAATGCCTGCAGATTTATACTAACCAATTTAGAGATAATAAGCGTTAAAAACGACTTTTTGATGTAAGACTATTTAACATAAATAATCATAACCAAAGTATAGTATATGTCAAAAGGAATCCGTACAAATAAAGAATGCTGAAATCCAACTTATATGGAAGAAGTTATGACCCACCGAAGTTTTGCGACAAAACCAACACAGCTTCGCATATCGTTAAAAGTAAATTTTTGACAAATTACTTTTTTGCCTTAGCGATCTAAATGAAAGTCATAGTATATGTTAAATTGAGAGTGTGCATATAGTGAACGTCCAAATCTGACTTCATTTGAGGAAGTTATGAATTTTCTAAGTTTTTGCATAGCAATATACAGCCCGGGAATCGAATTTTAGATCAACCGATTTTTAGCCGACACAACCTAAATAAGAATCAAAGATCTTGTTAATAGGATCTCAACGATTTAAAGACAGTAAAAAATAGACGTCGGATGACAAAGTTATAAATTTTTAACGAACTTTAACTTTCTAAACCTATTAAAATATAACTTTCAAAATAAGGTCTGAATTAGCTCACGATGTCTAAATGAAAGTTGTTGCTGTCATCGATATCTAAACATGGATATAAATAATGTCTAAAACGGAGCTTGTATGCGAAAGTTACAGATTTTAGAAGACAATTAATTTTGGGCTATATCTGTGAGTGACACGTGGCACGATCTGGGTTGCACCTTCTTCCCTACAGCTTGGAACGAGATGGTGACACGTGGCATGTGAATACCCAATGCTCAGCTCTTGAAACCCCCGTGTTTGGCCTTCATACATTCTATAAATAAAAGGCGCAAATCACTTCATTCTTCACACCTTTCTCGCCCATTCTCTCCCAAACACCCCCAAACCCTCTAAGCCTTTCCCTAGCACCTCCTAGGTGTTAGTAGGAAGTCACAGAGTGCCAGAAGGCTGCGAGAAAAAGAGCTTTCGGATAAGAATTTCTGCCCACGCAGAGCCCGGTTCCTCGCTAAACTCCTTTGTAAGTGAGTTATGCTTACCATACTTTAAGTATAACTTACGTTTAAGTTCATTATTGTTATTACGATCCTATAAACAATATTTATCAATGATTCCAAGTCGTTATACTGATTGATCTACTTATGGGGATGATGTCTAGGGTGTGATTTAGTGAGGTGTTTAATGTGTGATTTCCAAACAGTATACTCCGTATACCAAACAGACCCTACCTCCAATATGATCCTACCTGGTTGTTCCTAACTTGATAGATCATGAAAGTAGACCTTAAGTTAATGATGAATCTAGGCTAATAATCAGTCACAATAAATATTAGACTAAAACGTAGTGATAATAATAATAGGTTTCGTCAAAGGAAACGGAAATTGCAAGAATCGAAGTGTTGTCCGAGTTTCGAGTCATCACTTTATCAAGTGAGTGCATAGTCCCTTTCATGAACATGATTTTAATACACATATTAATTAAAGTATTAAATATATGTTTATGTGTGAAACATTTGATATTTCTTGAAATACGTGTTAAGAGCATATCTGACAATATATAATAACTAAGGATATAGAGTAAACTTAAATTAATTAAGAGGAACATTGGGTACTATCTTCTTATGAGTATGAGTGAGATATACACACAGGGTAGAACTTCAAAATTTGTCATTGATCTGAGAGCATGGATTAGACATACTCATTTGTCCCTAATCCGAGAGTATGGAGTGGGCATAATTATTCATCATTGATCCGAGAGCATAGATTCGACATACCTGATCCAGGAGTATGGATTAGGTAAAGTTGTTAAATTTAGACCCGAGAGTATGGATCGTGTCGTTGTGAGGACCAACGAGCATGGTAAACTTGCTTATATGAGGTGAAATTTCATATTACGAGTTCATATATATATATATATATATATATATATATATATATATATATATATATATATATATATAATATCGTGGGATTGAAATCCCAATGTACTCACCGGGTTTCTCAACCAGACCCACTAAATTTATTGTATCCCAGGTAGCTATATGAAAGATATATTTTGTTGAGAGATTCAAGGAGTATTAAGCCACTAGTTTATTTACTATAAGGCTTGTAATATTTCGTTATGCTTATGCTTCTATATTGACGATGACATCTCAATGTTTTAATAATAATAAAATAATTTTTTTTCGTAAATGCTTGGATAACATGTTATGATGTTAATCCTTGAAGATCTATTAGATTCAAACAGATAAAATAAGAACAAAATGAAAATCAAAATGATGCTTAATGATTAAACATCACGCCTCAGAAGAACTCTATGAAGAATTGCTACTATAGAGGCGTGTTTAGGGTTACGAAGTAAAAGATAAGAGTTAACAAAATACGATGCATGCATGCACCTTAAATACCCTAACTCTAGAAATAATTACGAGTGGAGAAGCCCAATCGTGAATACAAAACAGACTAAACAATTAGCCCAATGACACAACATCCAATACTCAACAATCTCCCCCTTTGCATCAATTGAGGCCCGAACTCACTAGCCTTGAATTTGTTTTTGCACTTCATAAACTTTGGGAATAATGCCATATATAGCCTGTCGAACTTGAAAGTACCACAAAATCAAATCAGATAAACACTTGATGTCATCCTTACTATTGCCCTTGAATCGCTTCACCATATCCCGTACATGCTCAAGGAAGGAAGTAGTGTATAAGTGCTTGTCAGAAAGGAAGAAACATCCCCTCCGAAAGTCTGCACCAGTTCGTTCCTTAGCTTGATACACCACATACCATCCCTTGCTATAAATCTTTCCCAGTGTCAGCTTCTGAAAATCTTTTGGAGATTCAATAAGAACAGCAAAAGGCTTCTTTCGCAACACAGCTGCAACCTGTACATCTTTTTTCCCGATTTCTTCAATGTAGGACTTTATCATTATTTGGAGATGAGACATCACAAGCTCGTATTTCTCTTTCTCTTTCAGCAACATGTTGTAAAGAACGAACCAGTCATTAGGGTTGAGACAGGGTAAGTCTGCGAGAGTGAACTCCTAGCGCTGACTGGTTGAACCTCTTGCGACTTTGAATTTAGCAATCGAAAAGCGTTTAGTCTCGATTGGTCCAGTGACCTTCACACCAGTGATCTTGCTCAAGGTCCAAGTATCATATTAAGGATTCATGTGCTTTAGATAAAACGAAAACAACATATGATCAACACCACTGTTTGTGATAGGAACATTCGTAATTTTTACGAAAGCATGGAACTTGAAAGCCTTTGGAGTGATGGGTAGATCCAACTGCGAATCTTGAGAATTTTGAATGTCAAAAGATATAGTTGGCTCAAACAATAATGGCAAGGTAAATCGATTGCCTCATTCTAGATTCGCTTCATCGTCCATTCGGGAAACAGAAGCTTGTTGGTTTGAAGAGTACCCTGAGACACTTTCTCAACTCTTTCTTTTTCTTCAGCCTCTCGGATGATTCGTTGGTATTCATCCAATTCTGCTTCATGAGCCTTTTGCCTTTTGAGTTCTTCTTCATCCAAATCTTCTTCTTCTTCTTCATTATCAATAATGGGCTCTTCACTGAACAACTTTTCTTTGCTCTTTGATTCTTTCTTGACAATTGGTTGAATTGGAGAAACATGTTTAGCAGCAACTTTAGGTTCTTTTCTGGGAATTTTTGGATCAAATTGCTTTGAAGCCCCTTCTCCCCCTTGTTTCAGAATGAAGTCAGATTCTAGAACACCTTCTAACCTATCAAGTATTGCAAAAATTGGCCACACCTTCTCAAGCAAATGCTTACGAACTGTGATGGTGAGCATTGAATCCCTGGTCTCAAGAATATCAGAGAGCATGCCTGTAACATCAGTAATACAGCTTCGCATGACAACCTTCTTAGATAGCAAGTTGAGAAACCTAAAGTGTTAGCCCCCGTATCAGATACGTTGACTGAAACAAAAGGTGGGGCAGAGGTTGTGGAAGGAACTATTGAATCTGTGAACAATGGGATGGAGAGAGGAATACTGGTTTGCTGTTGTGTAGAAACTAGAGGCCATGGAGTGATTGTGATTGGGATAGAGGTTGTTTTAGGTGAAGGATGTGGAGAAGGAACAGAGTCATTAAAAGGTTGAGTTATCTCAGGATTGGATATGTTCTCTTTATTGTGAAGGATTTCATCCTCGTTGCGAAAATCTTCATTGTGAACCTCCTCATTAGGAATAGGACTGTCCTCCTTACTGAAAATGTCAGACTGAGTGTCAGACTCTGAACCTTCGCTTGCACTTGGTGTTGGGGTCGTTCACTTACGAGTAAGTTGTTTTCTCCTTTTGGGATGAGCTGCAGAAGGAGCAGTTTTCGCCTTTCACTTCTTTAGAGGCGCAGCTGGCTCGGAGGGACCCTCTGTCATTTGCTTTGGCTTACCCCGCCTTTTTTACTTTGTCAGCTTCATCAATAGGCAGGCGCATCTCATGAGTAATGGTGCGAGCTCCTAAATATGGAAACTTTTTGTACTCCTCCAAAATCTTGCTTGCAACTAGAACATAATGAAACATGGTCTCTGGAATGGAAACAACAAAAGCGAACTTCATGTTGACAGAAATAATGATTTTGGTTGTGTGAAAAGTAGCAATCGAAGAATTCAAGGAATCCTTCATGATCGGAATTTGATATTTGTTGATTGCCCTTTGAACAACAATAGTCCAAAAACGAGCATAGGAAGTCTCACTGTGTTGAGTTGTGGAGTGAGTACTTTGCACTAGTTGAGCCCACAGAACAGTGCCATAATCAAGGTTGATGTTGTAGTAGAGACGATACATCAAGGTCATGAACAACTTACTAGCACAGTCTAAACCTGTGAATCTTTCAGAAAAAGCTTTGAAGAGAATAGTGAATAGACCATTCCATTGAGGAGGCAAGTTGGGTCTCTTGAACTTAGAGATTGACATAATAATTTCCTTATACCCCATCTCATAGAACATCTCGAAAATAGCTTTAGTGGAGATCGAGTCTGGATTCCCCATGGAGTCATCAGAAGCAAGCCCTAGCAAAGAGCAGAACCATGACTTAGTGATCGAGGTTTTCTTGTCAGAGATGTCAAAGGTGATGCGTTCTTCTTCCTTGATGTACGATGCAGAGTAATAAGCCTTCAAGAGTAGAGACATTGGAATACACACAACTTTAGTTAGGGCAGTGACCAGAGGGGAATACTTCAGACATTCGATGATGGCAACATGTATCAGTCATACGTGAATGGAGATAAATCAAGAAGCAAGTTTTGATGCTGGTTGATGGCAAGAAATGAGGAGTGTGCGGTTTGATCTAGTACTAATGAAGAACCAGCCACTATTGCAAGTGGATAAAGAAGATGAAAAATAAAGAGAAATCCTAATTAGGGTTCTTTGAGAGAATTTGATAGTGGTAAAAGGTAAGGCAGTGAATCAAAAATCCTTTTATACGATTACGTAGGAGAGAGAATTTGAAACATCAATGGAGTGATTTCCATTGAAAGGACGCCTGAAAAAGCAGGATTTGACAACTGTAGCGCCGATAAAGGTGTTAGGCGGCGTCATAAGTGGAAGCGTTTCAAATTCCATGCCCCTAAATTTCGATCTTTTATCCACCAACAACCGTGTCATTATTATCTTGTTCTCATCCTTTCAAACTGCATTCGTTGCAATAAAAATCCATACAACCGTTAGCATTTAAGAGTGAGTATCATTGAATCTGTGAAACTAAAAATACCATAAGTACCACAAGCAGGACTTTAGGAAAATCAAAGAGATCTTTGTGCGAGAATGTTCCAAAGAAAAATAATTAAATCAAGATTTATCTATGGGATTTTAGTGATGTCTTAAAAGACATGAAACAATAGATCCTGGGCAGTGATCTCTTCCTTCAGAATCAAGAGAGATTAAGAAGTGTCTGTGTGGTTTCCCGTTTAAATACGATCAAATGTTTGACATGAAACATTGAAAGGCATCTTTTAATAAGGCTTAATGGGTGGCTTACTCTACAAACAAACAACGACTTGACATAAGAACGAATGTTGGATGAAGTACTCGTGTGACCAGTGTAGTCAGTTGAACGAGTAGGTGTGGAATTATGTTAGCAACAAGATTAAGAAAAAATAAAACGGGATCTTATGGGAAGAAGTATCTTGGATCCAGAACACTTCATCAAGATCCCGCAAAAGAAAAACAGATTCCTTGATACATACCACAAAAGTGGCTTTCGTTAATTCCATGGTGAAAATATAGAACAATTAAGTGTTAACCATCAATTCATGAAAGTGTGTTGGATTAAGGGGTTCACTTACTTCGTGGTGAACCAAACTAAGATCATTAACACAGATGTTATGCAACCATAAACCTCAGTGGTATAGCTGAGAGTCTTAAGAGTTACATTGATGAATATGAAGGCAATAGAGAACTGTGAAGATGGTTCCAGAGAAGCGAATGTACCTTTGCTAAACGAAAGTGACTAAGCAGATAACTCTTAACTCAAAGTGAGAAGAGTAAGGTAGCTCATGACTAATATGAATTTAACAGCAAAATTGGGAAGAAATGATTGGTAGAATCAATTCATTAAGGCTTCACATCGAGCCAATAGAGGCTTTAGACAACATACAATAACATGCTTTTAGGGACACTTAGCTAATACATAGAGAAGAATGTTATACATGCCCTATCACATGAATCTATGCCTCCATGATCTTCTTCTGTGGTGAAATATGTAAAAATAAAAGAAACAAAGATAAAAATAAAATATTTTTGGATTTTGAAATTTTCTGAAAAAAGATAAAAACAGAAAGAAAATATTTTTGAACAAAATAGAATAATGTACAAAAGAAAATAAAATAATATCAAACAAAACAAAAAAATAATAAAAAAAATGCGAATTAGGGAGAACTTTCGTGCCAATTCGTGTCCCGGAAAAATCGGAAACAAATTAAAGCGAGCGTTTGTGCCAATTCGCGTTAAGAATAAAAATGAAAAGATAAAAATTCTTTTTGGATTTTTTGGATTTTTCAAATATAAGATTTTTGAAACGGTTAAACATTATACATAAACTACAAAAAGGATATTGGTTAAACCAAACCACAAAAGAACAGTAGTCAGCGAGTCTTCGCGAAAGTTCGCATCAATGTGTGTCAACAACTTTATTAAAGAAAAGGTGGTTTTGGTATTGATTTAGCTGCCATCATTCCTAGGCCTTGAAGAATTCTGTTGAAGGTTGATTCAGGCAAGGCTTTTGTGAATATCAGCCAACTAATCAGCGGATGTCACGAAGTAAATTTCAACATTGTTGTCTCCTACGTGATCCTTGATGAAATGATACTTCAGTGCTATGTGTTTCGTCTTTGAGTGATGCACTGGGTTGTGACAAATGCGAATATCACTTTCAGAGTCACAATATAGTGGGATTCATTTCAAACTTAATCCATAGTCACGAAGCTGAATCTGAATCCAAATGACATGAGATGTACATGATGCAACAACTATATAACCAGCTTTAGTTGTTGAAAAGGACACACACGTTTGCTTCTTGGATTGCCAACTAACAAGTTTTCCATCTAGAAATTGGCATCCACCAGTAGTCAGCGAGTCTTTGCGAAAGTTCGCATCAATTTGTGTCAACAACTTTATTAAAGCAAAGGTGGTTTTGGTATTGATTTAGCTGCCATCATTCCTAGGCCTTGAAGAATTCTATTGAAGGTTGATTCAGGAAAGGCTTTTGTGAATATCAACCAACTGATCAGCGGATGTCACAAAGTAAATATCAACATTGTCGTCTCCTACGTGATCCTTGATGAAATGATACTTCAGTGCTATGTGTTTCGTCTTTGAGTGTTGCACTGGGTTGTGACAAATGTGAATATCACTTTTAGAGTCACAATATAGTGGGATTCATTTCATACTTAATCCATAGTCACGAAGCTGAATCTGAATCCAAATGACTTGAGATGTACATGATGCAGCAGCTATATAAACAGCTTCAGTTGTTGACAAGGACACACACGTTTGCTTCTTGGATTGCCAACTAACAAGTTTTCCATCTAGAAATTAGCATTCTCCAGTAGTCAGCAAGTCTTTGCAAAAGTTCGCATCAATTTGTGTCAACAACTTTATTAAAGCAAAGGTGGTTTTGGTATTGATTTAGATGCCATCATTCCTAGGCCTTGAAGAATTCTGTTGAAGGTTGATTCAGGCAAGGCTTTTGTGAATATCAACCAACTGATCAGCGGATGTCACAAAGTAAATTTCAACATTGTCGTCTCCTACGTGATCCTTGATGAAATGATACTTCAGTGCTATGTGTTTCGTCTTTGAGTGTTGCACTGGGTTGTGACAAATGTGAATATCACTTTTAGAGTCACAATATAGTGGGATTCATTTCATACTTAATCCATAGTCACGAAGCTGAATCTGAATCCAAATGACTTGAGGTGTACATTATGCAGCAACTATGTAACCAGCTTCAGCTGTTGACAAGGACACACGCGTTTGCTTCTTGGATTGCCAACTAACAAGTTTTCAATCTAGAAATTGGCATCCTCCAGTTGTGCTTTTTTTTTTGTCTAATCCACATCCCCCAAGGTCAGCTGTAACATCCGGATTCCAAGGTATATTATTTTATTCATTTATTTTTGGAGTTTGTGGAGGGACTCAGCGAGTTGGTGCTTAGACTCGCCGAGTAGGGTCGCGGATTCTTATCCGGGTTCATGAGTGGACGCGGTGAGTCCACGCTGTTTAATGAAACCCTAATTTCCTAGGTTTGGGACCTATTTAAATGCCCTTCGGGCCGTCAGTTGCAGCTACCAAACCCAGAGAGAAACCCTAAGAGATCTAGAGCGTTTGTGAGGAAGGAGAGGCCATATTTGATCATTTTGTTGGTGTGATTTCAAGAAGGAGGTGACCAAGGCAAGAGGAGGCTGAAGGAGGAGCGGTTTTGGTGATTTCAGAGTTCAGAGACTTCATCTTGAGGTATTTATTCGGACCTTATTCAGATTTGGTGTTGATTCTTAGAGTTAGGGTTTTCTAACCGCCTTTAGAGAATGGGTATGTGCAGCAACTGGTCACTTCTCGAGTTTATGCTTTGGATCTGGACTCAAAGAGGTCCAAAGACCTTAACCCTTGGAGCTTTATGAGTTATTTTGGGAGCCATGAACTTAGGATGTTATTTTTGGGCCTAAATCACCAAGTGGAACCTTTTAGACGTCCCATGAGTGTCAAGATTCGAGCTTTACGTGTTTATCAGGCTTGGAAAGGTAAGATCTATGGACCAAAGGAACATATCTGACCTCAGGAGGTCAAGTGAGTTTGTGCATGGCATGAACTCGCCGAGTCCAAGGGCAGACTCGGCGAGTAGGGTTAGGGTTTTCCGTAAATTAGTCAGCGAGTAGACCTGTCGAGTTGGGGGGAATAACTCAGTGATTCAGAGAGGGATTAGAGGACTGGAGTTCAAGGTGGAACTCGCCGAGTTGTTCTTGAGACTCGGCGAGTTGAGTCGGGGTAGCCCCACGATTCACGCCAGGTGTGACTCATCGAGCAAGGGGAGGGACTCGACATGCCAAGCGAGACTAGGGAGT